AATTGATGGAATATGGACTTAGAGTTAATTCTATTAATAGAATACGAAGTTAAATTATATAGAGAAGATAAAGATATTATTGTCATAGGAAATGATTCGATAATCGTTTTATAATTCATATGAGTCCTATAACAAAAAATGAATACAACACATGTATATTAATGAAAATAAAAATATGGTTTTAACATATCACTTAATAACATCACTTAATAAAGATATCACAGATGACATCATAGATTAAATCATGTAAATAATAAATATTTACAAAAACTTATAAAAAAAGTTTGCTATTGACATTAATGACAAGTTGGGAGATACTAATTTGCGAAGCGTGAAAAAATTGTAAGTTATCTGGAAAATTACATAAGTATGTTAAACAAGAATAGACTAATGTAATATTAGATTTGTTACATTTAGATATTTGTAACCCATATCTGTTGAATTAATTGAAGGTTCGCGTTACATATTATTAATTGCTGATTATAGCGATTTATATGTATTTTACTTATTATCTTAAAAATAAGAAATGTTTTCAATTTTCCAGACATTTAAAAGAAATATAAAAATGTATAAAATAAAAGAAACAAATATATACGCACTGATAATACAGAATTTGTTAATAATCAGCTTCGTAGCTTAATTAATAAAGAAAATATTGAATATCAAAATTAAGTGTTCTTTATAATCCAAAAAACAATAAAAATGTAAAAAGAACAAAAAGAATAATTTTATAGCGGGCATATACTCTATATATGAAAGTAGTCTATCATTAATGTTTATGACCGGAAATGATATAGCATATGTTACAAATAGCAAAATTAATTCCTAGAAAAAAACAAAATTGAAACTGTACATCCTTGCCGGGTATCGAAATTCGCAAATTGCACAATTCCTCGGACGTACTCGTCGAAAACGAAAATTCGGTTGATCACGAAAATTACAAATCATGATTGGGATATTTACAAATGTATTTTTACAATATTTACAAATTAGATCTTTCGTATGTCACTATGTATCGCGTTCCGAAACATCCTTCATGCGCGCGTGTGTGCGTGCATCGTGTTCGATAAATGCACACATTGAATACGCGAGTAAGGCCTGTTCTACAATGGGTCGTGTGTCCGTGTCGCAAGCCACCACCACAAGAATTGACCAATCACAGTTGAATGTGGGGAGAATACTTGATTGTGATCGGCCCATTCTTACGGCCCACGTCCCACGACACCGACACCGACGCATTGTAGAACAGGCTTTTAGCGCACTTCGAATAAATCGCCCGCGATCGAATACTGAGGAGCGAGAATTCAAAAGAAAAACGAGCGAGTCAGATATATATTCCTGACGGAAATCGAGAATGCTCAATCTCGATTTATAGAGAAAGCAATCTCTTTATAGAGAGATCAAGCGTCGGAAGATGCTCGATGGAGACTGAGAATACTCGGTATCTCGTTCGATCGGAATATTAGATTTGAATAGGTCGGATGCTGAGACAGATCTATCTTGTACTAAAATCTTCAATCAATCAAATTGTATTGTCATTGTTTATAGTTGTAAACAATTGTGAAAAAAATTTTAAGTCATTACGAAAAGAATTTGAAATTAACGACACCACTCAAAGTTATTTTTGGAAATGAGAGTAAAATGTGACAAGTATATATTTAAGTCAAATAAATAGAAAAATTATTAAATAAGTATAATACGTCAGCAAATTGATTAATGCTTAGTAATTGGAAAAATAATAATAATAAATATGTTAGTAAATAGCATACTTATCGATAGGAATTATAAACTTTTATGTTTAGCAAATAGAACGAAACCTGATATAATTCTGATTTGTAATCTTATCTCATCTTAATTATCACAATATTATCACTGCCCTCAAAAAAGGCATCTCAGTATGTTATGTAAAAGAGTTTTGTGTTTATTTAAGCGGAAGTAAATACAAACATCTTCATTATGATCATAAATTTAGATTATTAAAAGCATATCAGTTTAATATCAGTTTGATATTAGTTTAATAGTTGAAAAAATGCTAATAATGGAAAATTATTTCCAGAAGAAATAATATTTATTGGTAATTCACTTATTTCATATTTTACACATTTCATTCAAATGAAAACAAAATAGTATAGGTAATTCTACTTGTAAAGTGGAACATTTTTGCAATTTCTAAAAAAAAGTCACAAATATTATATGGCATCAGATGTTAACTAAATTAAATTGTGAAGAATATATAAATAAACTAACTAAAATATTTTGAAATAAACTACCATTTAATTTGAAAAAATGATTGAAAAATGTTCGTTTGCTAAAACTCGATATGTTAATTTAAAATTTTATTTATATATGCGATGAAATCGAAAATAATCTTAATATCATGATATATATATAGATACAATTAATATGATAGCAAATTGTTTTAAAAGTATATTAGAAAATTCAAATTGTTGCAACCAAATGCATTTAATTTAATTTATTTCATATATTAAGAAGATAAGTTACGATAGAATAATCGTTTTGTAGGAACAGAATGTTCAAAAAAAGTTTTGTAATAAATCGATTTATAGTTTAATTGAATTGTGATACAGTTATTTTCATTTGCACTCTTTTGTATTAAAAAAGAACGCTTATCTTTGACAATCGGTATCGAGTTTAATTCGAGTTGTTGGAATATTTCTGTATAATTGTAATTTAAAACTTATTTGCAATAAACTGCAAATTTCTCTTATAAGTAGTTGTATAAATTATTTTCCCAATTTTTTTATATTTTCCCAAATCACATTTTTAATACATTTCTTAATTAATCATACAAGTAATATGGATGCACGAATAATGGATACTTTGCGGTACACTGTGATTCTTTTCAATGATCCTCTAGAACTGTTCTTGAAAATCCCTTTAAAATACACGATTTAGAGATTTTAAAAGCTCTAGAAAGTAATAAAAACTTTTTTACTTTAAAATATACAACTTTAAAACTTTTAGACTAATTTTGAATAATTCAAATGATTTTTGTATCTAAATAATATTTACATTAACATAATTTTGAATCAAAATTATTTACAAATGTAAATAATTTTTTTATTAACATTGATAAAAATAATATTGTCGAACAGCAAGTCAAAATGCTGAATATCCATTAATATATCGATAGATATGTAAGCAAAAAGTATTGTCAAGAATTCTTTCACGTACTCTAGAATAAATTTTGCAGCATAAGCATTTCTTCAGATAAGATTTCACGAAGAGAAATGAAAATTATATTCTTGAGTAAACTGACTGATATCAAATATTTTATCTTTACTAGCTATAAACTTATCAGATTAATATTGCATCATATAAAGGTGCAAATCATTGTCGTCGATAAAAAGAGAAGGAAGTATAGATAGAAGATGATAAAAATATAGGATGAGAGAAATTTTAAACGTTCGAATAATTTTTAGAAAAATATAAAAATATTTTATCTGATCTAGGAGTCCTATATCTATTATAAACTTGTAAATATCGGTAACAAGCTCACAAAAGGAAAGTTATGTATAATTATCTAAATATCGATAATGTCGCACAAATGAAAGTTTATCGTAAAGGAGAAGAAAGTTGTAAAAAGAAAAGAAGAATAAGTTACAATGCTAAAAGTTTACATAACAAATATATCATATCTTGAGGTTTATCGGTTTTTCGTTTATAATAAATATCCTCTAGATATTTTGCAGAGATTTTTTTAATTTATTTTATTAATTTTACAGAATATGAGCATTATTTTTTACAAAATTTAAGTTTTAATTTTTGTTATTATTTTGTTGTTATTGCTAAGATATCGAGATTAATATTTATCAATTAATAACTTACTAAAAATAAAAAGTTTTTTGCAAATTAAACGTAAAGAAAAAAATTGATAATATAGTACTCTTTATTATTCAATTTCGAGTAATTTTAATTGAATACTAACTCGAGAATCCCATGCTAAATATTATCCATAAAATTGTAGTATATTAAACAATAACAAGAAAGAATAACAAAATATTTATATTGTGCGTTTGTGAAAAAAATAATAAAATATTTTTGCGTATAATATTGTATTAAATTTTTCATATTTTTCATAACGGTAAGATATTGTACATATTGCTTCCATGATATAATTCCTTTTATTTATTTTTATAATCCGTATAATTTATATTTTATCCAATAATTTTTTTATTTTATGTGATTTATGCATATAGGTAACATGTAATTTTTTATATTTTACAAATGGTTCGATGTTACAGAGTAATTGATGTTTTTCTTCACCAGACAAGATTAAAAATCTTGCAGTACTTATCTTGCAGTAATTATTTCTTGCTTTTCTCATTTTTATTTGTATACCCTCTCAAAAAGGATTTCTAGTAATGAGATAAAAACTATTTTTGATACATTTAATCTTATCGTTATCTTATGTAATATCGAATCCGAAAACTAAAATCATTTTAAGATTAAATTAATAATTTCTATTCTTCTGCCTCGAATTAAATATGATTGATATTTTGTCTTGAATTAAGAATAATACATACAAATTTAAGCTTGTTTATTCTTGCGTAGAATAAATCATCGCCCGATATAATGTCCGATATTAGCACTAGTATTTGGTGTAAGATTGTGCTACTATTTATTGTAGCACCAAGATCATTTTATTCTAGATTTAAGAATATTCCAATTAAGACTAAAATATTCTGTTCTTTATAATAAATATGATTGGCCCTATATCGATCCTATTTTTGCTAGTTTGAAAAGTAATAGCATTAGATCCAGAAATCTTTTCTGTGGGTGTATGAAGAAATATAATAGAATAGGAAACGAAAGTTTGTTTATATATATATATATATATAAACTTTTATTTTAGTTTATTATTTATTTATATATATATATATATATATATATATATATATAATATTTTAAATAACACAACCAGAGGTAAACTTAATTGGTAAAACAGATTCTACAATATTAAATCATCAATTATGTAACACCTTTCATCTGCGCACATTGGCTGATGAGTTTATCGATAAACTTCTCTCGTCATTCCTGCAACGCATTCATCATGGAAAAGAACAGAGTCAAAGTATCTGTGCACGAAGGAAAGTTAATCGGCATTGTAGAGAAAAATGTCTACAACAATTCCTATATTGCTTTTCGAGGAATACCATATGCGAAACCGCCAATTGGAGAACTCAGATTCAAAGTGAGTATATAAAATTCTTTTATAAATGATATAAATATCATGTATAAATAATCATTATATAAAAAATTACATAATACAACTAATAAGCAATATGATATTTTATCATCCTTCAATCATAAAATCAATTATCAAAATTTTTTGAAATTTTGTTTTATAATCATTTTTCAAATTTTTTTAATCATTGTTTTACGGGCGATCACATAAATCAAAACTAAAAATTAATTTTTTTTACAAATAAACACATTTCAAAAAGAAAACAGTTAATTTCTAGATTTGTCTTACGTAATCGCGCCTTAAATTAAATTAGAAAAATACAAAAAATAATTAGAAAAAAAATTAAAATATTACAATTAAAAAACATTGACAAAAGAGGAAGACTTAAATATAATAAGATACGACTTATTACTTATATCATGTAATCATTATAATAATGTAATTATAATAATATAATTAATATAAACAATTCCTTTTCCATTTATTATATATATATATATATATAAGTTGCTATTTAAAAAAATGGAGATTTGCAATATGTAATGATATATCATTTTTGAAAAACAACTATGTATTTTCTTCACTCCGATTTATTCATCTCATTATTCTGCATAAAAGTATTAAAAAATAGCTGCCAAAAAACAAATATAAATAAACATATATAAATTTATGAGATATTTTATACTTTATGTCCAATTGCACATCAAATTCAAGCCTCATAATTCAGAAATTATTTACTAAAAAAATACTTTATTATAATATTTTGGAAAGTTCTGGAAGTCAAGAGCTACAAGAATATGTAATAAAAAAAATGAGGATTTCCATTTAAGAAAACATTGGTGCTATTGATCCTGAGAAAATCAAGATCAAGATCAGATTTTCATCATATGTTTCCTTTAATGTCCTACAACTTTTGAAACAATTTTCCATATCTAAAATCCGTCCATATCTAATCCTAATATATCTAAAGTCCGTTTCCGAGATATAAGGTCTGGGTCAGAGATATCTCTATAAATAAATAAATTTGTAGATACTGTGTATATGTATTTATTTTCCTAAAGATAAATCTCGTGCCAAATATAGTTAATGTATAATGTATGAAAGATGAATTTTATGCAATTAGGATCCGGTACCGATAGAACCATGGACCGATGATAAGGATGCTTCGACGTATGGAAATGTCGCTGTTCAACTGAATATATTTACACGTGAAATTATGGGCGATGAAGATTGTTTATATTTAAATGTGTACACTACGAAACTCGAACCTTTGAAGAAACGCTCAGTAATGGTATGGATACATGGCGGTGGTTTTTTTATGGGTACTGGTGATGCAACCATATATGGTCCCGATTATATTGTGCAAAAGGATGTGGTATTGGTTACTTTGAACTATAGACTAGGCGTTTTAGGTATGTTACTGATTTCAATAAATCATACGTTATACGCCATTTGCCATCTGACATCTTGTGAGTCGATAAAATCGTTTGGATCGTTTAACATTTTTTTCTAAGCAACTTGAATACATTCACATTTTTTATAGACAACACATTATCGAAATCAATAATTTCAAATTAAACGTAGATTATAAAAAAAATTAGTTTCATATATTTTCACATATATTAATATATTTAAAACTTATATTTTTAATTTATTATATTTCCGGCATATAGAATTATTTATATAGAATTATTTATATAGAATTATTTATATTTCGCGGCTCACACAAACGACCAGTAAATTATGATGCAATTTATTTTGAATATAAAGAACCGTTTACTTTTAATTAGAATAAATCAACTTTTCAAAAAAAGAGGACATTAATAATTTTAGGTTTCCTAAATCTCTACGACAAAGTGGCAACAGGTAATCAAGGTTTGAAGGATGTGATCATGGCGCTACAATGGGTCCAAAAAAATATATCAATATTTGGTGGAGATCCAGAAAACGTGACTATCTTTGGCGAAAGTGCTGGTGGAGCAATCACACATTATTTAACTTTGTCCCCATTAGCCAAAGGTACAATTTTATTAATACAAACTCTCTCTCTCTCTCTCTCTCTCTCTCTCTCTCTCTCTCTCTCTCTCTCTCCTCCTCTCTCTC